AGGGGCTAATGGGAACTAAATGTCCTACATGGAAGACGGTGGGAAAAAATCAATTAATGAATGCACTTTTTAGAGTTAAGAGGATCACGATTTAGAATTATTGATTGCCATTAAAAAATAAGTAAAAGAATTTAAAAAATTAAACCAACGTAAAAAGAAACTGAGCAAGGTTCTAAATTATTATTATTATGTTCTCGTTACTTTTGGCTTGGTATTGACTTCGAACAGACCAATAGGTAAAAAAATAAATAGATAAAGAACCTCCTACTGTTTTAAATTCGGTTTAAAAGTCGGTTTTTTGTAGTGATTGGCCAAACTTATAGGTTTACATCTTAACGGTATTATAATACCTAACATTCAGATGTTAATATGTTAATGTAAATTACTTTCACGTTAAAACAATGTGTTTACGCAACAAAAACTTCAAAACTCTTTTTTTTTAGAAATTTTCATCAAACAAGAAAGTTCCTATTCAAAGTCAAAGCATCTGTTTTCCATCCAGTCTAAAGGGCAAGCTATCCTTCACAAGAACAAAGCCTTGATCAGGGCACAATAGTATGATTTACAACAATACTCTTTATTTATACAACCTACAAACATCTAAAGTACCTCACTGAAGTTCTAAAAGTCTTTATTTTACAGGAATAAGGTTTAAATTAGAATAAACTCATGTTAAAAGCCCGTATATAATGTTTGCCTTTCGTATATTGAAAATCTCAAGGCACATATTGTTATAGCAATACTGCGTGCATTTTTATGCCTTGCTTCCATGGTTTTCTAAAGTAACCCTTGTTGCAGAGCAGCTAAGGTTGGTTTTACGATGGTTTTGGTCAGAGAACAGTATTTCTGTTTTCCCCTTTTGCGATCCGGGACACAAATCAAAGACAGCTGGGAACAGAAGTTGGCACAATATGACATGTTGGGGTGACCAATTTTTATGGAAAATTGTGGATGGTCTATTTTCCGAACATGGGGTTTAGTTTATACTCGTATTACGGCTCACATCTTTGGCAGTAAACAAATTCTCCCTGAAAATATTACATTTCTTACAAAATTAAATAGCCATTGCCATTTACGAAGAAAAATACAATACCTACACGGCCGCAGATGCAAATAGGAGTAAAAAATGATAATGTATAAGTTGGTACCTATGTTTTATAATTATGTAAAAATTAATGAAAACACAGGACCTAATATACAACAGGTTGAAACTCCTTAGTCTCTTAAGGTTTAATTTAACGTTAAAGAACTCCTCTAAACCATTTTCAAGCAAGTCATCTCAACACAAGTACCAATATTACATTTACTTTTTAGAAACGTCTCAGAAAAAGAAGAATAATAATAAATACCCTTTATTGCACACCAAAGAACAGAACAGAACAGAAAAAAAGAAACACACGGACAGGTACAACTAGGCGGTATTATCGCTATGAAGCGATCTCTTCCAGACAACCTATGGAGAGGAGAGTTACATTTAGAACATTTTTATTTTTGTTTCTATTAAAAAATCCCATCCCAAAACCCACACACACCCTACCGCCCGCATTCCTGGACAGGGGTCGTCGCGTTTTAATCAACGGCGCACATTGTCCGCGAGCAGTGACGCCGCATCTGCATGGTTGAAAATTGGAGGGGATTTTGGGAAAAACCGGGCGGTTGGTGCTTTGGACCGTGCGTAGGTGTTTTAGGGTTAGTCTTTTTTAAAACATATCGTATGATATTTTTACTTTTCTTGTCAATAAAGGCCGAAATATCAAAATGGCGGTAGTTAGATATCACCCATCCCTGTCATAAAAGGTGTCTTAGTTAAAGCCTGGTCCGTGAGCACGTAGAATCCCGTCCAATGACCCCAAGCTACCCATCTTTATCGCTCGCGCGTAATTATGTTGCTGTTGCGACTAGGGCATGTAATATCGGAAGGTTTTCAATTCCGATATTGGATTCCGATATTAGATCTCAATATCGGAATTCCGATATTAATATCGGAATTGAGTTCATGTGCTACAAAATTAATATTTGGTTATATTCGTAAGAATTCTGGATTGTTTACAATAAAATAATGATTTTAATCAAAATCTTTAATTTGGTACAAAACAGCACTTCATAAAATTGAAGTATTTTAAAACCATGTTTACGTTATGGGTGTCCATTGCATTTGGTTTTTTATGTGACAAGAGGCAAACGAGCAGACGGATCACCTGATAATGAATGGTTACTGATAATGAGCCTATATGGACTAGCAAATAATTAAAGTGTTTTTGTAAAATCACAGGTATCAAACAAACTTTTACTCCTTCATTATACCTCCTACCCTGTTTTATGTTGGCGGACCGAATTTTAGAGTCATTCAAATCACGTGTTACAAAAATTGTAGAGAGTGGTAAAAAACTTGAATATGCTTGTAATTTGTTCCTTTTTCATATCCTATTGAACATAATAATATAACCTCCTCCTTTTTTGAAGTCGGTTAAAAACCACGAGCCATCATCATCATCATGTCAGCCATAGGACGTCCACTGCTGAACACAGGCTCCGATGCTGATTTTCACAATGGCCGGTTGGTGGCGGCCTGTATCCAGCGCCTTTCTGCTACCTTATGAGGTCGTCGGTCCACCTTATGGTTATGAGTCTTACGTTGCGCTTTCCGGTACGTGGCCTCCACTTCAGAACCTTGCTGCCTCATCGTCCGTCTGTTTTGCGTACTAAGACAGAACCGTTGGAAGACCTTATCACAATGCTCGAAGACCTTAATCGAGTTTCCCAACAGGTAGGCCTTCGGATGAATATGGAAAAAACTAAGCTTATGTCGAATGTCCATGTTGCTCCTTACCCAGTTTCGGTTAGGAGCTCAATTCTCGAGATTGTTGACAAGTAGTTAAGTAGATGCAATTTCGACAAAGAGGTAAATCGTCGAATACGAAGACGAAAGTCTTCAATTAGTGTGTAGTTACCAGTGATGATATACGGCTCGAAAACGTGGCCTTTGAATATAGGGCACAACGTGCTATGGAGAGGGATAAGCTTGGTGTTTCTTTACGAGATCTAATCAGAAATGAGGAGCTCCGTAAACTAACTAAGGTCGCTGACATAGCCCGACGGATTAGCAAGCTGAAGTGGCAATGGGCAGGGCACATAGTACGCAGAACTGATAGTCCAGTAAAATTAATGTTTGAAAGGGAGTCGAGATGTTGTTCTTTGTTGACCAAGTACCTATGGCAATTGCTAAAAATTGATTTAGAACAAGTTAAATTAACCATAAATAGTAAAGATATTAAAATATCTGCAGTGGAACAAAAAGTGATGGTGAGAGACATGATAAAATCATTGGTCTTTGCCAATCATGTACTTTGGGCTTTGTGGCTGTGGAGTTTGAGGTGTGGTTTGAGGTTGTGGCGAGAAACGCTTTGTATAAAATCTCAATTAAAACTTTTATCTGATTCCGATATTACGATATTGGGTCGCTCAATATCGGAATTGAAATATCGGATCTCGCAGTCCGAGATTCCGATATTACGAGATTCCGAGATTCCGATATTCATGCCCTAGTTGCGACTGTGCGACGGGCGCCCGCAGTGAGTGTGCGAGCGCGATAAGTAACCGTGTTGCAACGATATTTGCCTCAGGCACAGGGTTTTGCTTCTGCAGTGGATACTAGAATGAGGATAAGTTCCCGTGGTATAGTTTACACCGATATTGTCTCTGGTACGAGTACATTAGAGAGGGTCGTGCCCCTGCGGTGGAAACCACAGAGACATCCCCTTTTTGCAGGATCTCGTAGCATATTTTCGTACTTTAATATTAACGTTCACACAAACATCCCGCTTGCAAAAACCGGTCCCTCCGAATTAGGACTTCCAAACATACATGTGTGTTCCCACGACAGTCCAGAGGTGGAATTGTGTAAAGCAATCGTAATCATTTGACAGTTCATAACGTACGATAAAGTCAGTTAAACAAAGCGTTTGACAGAATAATCGTACGTTATGAACTGTCAAATGATAACGATTGCTTTACACAATTCCACCCCAGATTTGCGAGATCCTGCATTACTGGATCTCCCATTACTGGATCCCCCATTACTGGATCCCCCATTACTGGATCTCCCATTACTGGATCCCCCATTACTGGATCCCCCATTACTGGATCCCCCATTACTGGATCTCCCATTTCTGGATCCCCCATTACCGGATTCCCCATTACTGGATCCCTCATTACCGGATCCCCCATTACTGGATCCCTCATTACTGGATCTCCCATTACTGGATCCTCCACTACTGGGACCCGCATTACTGGATCCTGCTGAACTAGAATGCCGTGGGAACGAGCACTAACTAGTCTTAGTCCAGTCACTGAATGCCTTAACGACGGTCTAGAGAGAAATCCGTGGAACACAATTTCTGACCTCGGGACTTTGTTTAGCCTAGTTAGGTGGTGAACATAGCAAAAGTCCCTTAGCCCTTGAGCCGGCGGGGAGAGGGGGGTTTAAAGGTACCACTTTTCGGTTTTTCGCTTAATCCTCGGAAACTATGCGTCCTGGTGACATAACTACTAAGAACCAAAAAAAGCTTAATCAATTTGCTACAGGTGAGACCGTCAAGTTTTTCTATATCTTGTATGGTTTTTGCGGCATCTGCTCTAGAAGGTCTGTAAAATTGGAAATTTTATTGTTGTCTTACATGTTCCTTTGAGGAGAAAATCGACTAAATCAACATTGAGCAAACACTATAGACATGCGGGAGCATGTTAAGCCTAGTTCCAGGGAGGGGACTGCACTGTGCGTATATTTAGACGAACCAATTAAAGCCACTTTTGACTCCTCATCATTCAAAAACTGCTGTGCATTAACACTTCAAATTTGGCTCATGTATTGAGACTTGCAAGATAGACATCAGCTTTAAATTTCATAAATATACCTCAAACGGTTATTTAGGTATTGACGTTCAAAAATCGATATTTAGAGCACTAAAATCTATCTATCNAACTGCAGTTGTTTCTCGCAGCGATCCTGCCGTACCGCGAGGACGCCAACACGCAGACGCGCGAGTTCCTGGCGCGCGTCGTGGACGTGCTGCTCGACTACGTGCAGCAGGTCAACGACCGCAACGAGAAGGTACGTCGCTAGCTTTTAAGCTTCAGCTACCAGTGGTTCCCAAACTTATTTAGTCTACTGCCCACTTTGAGAATAAATTATTTTTTAGCGCCCCCCATTTTGTAGTCAAGAGTTGAGCTCAGTCGATGTCTAAGAGTCCTCCTAGTAGATGACGCCTCCCAAGCCTCAACACAACGTCCGGATTTTTTTTCTGGGTCTCTTACCGCCCCCCTTTAAGCCTGCAGCGCTCACAAGGGGGCGTTATCGCCCACTTTGGGAAAGACTGAGCTAAACCAACGCGTGCAAGTCGCGTAGACGATGGCGATTACTGGTGCGTGCATAGGCCAATGACAGGACGCGATGATGTGAACTCATCGCTACAAATTCATCGACATCTGATCGCCTTTGTGCACGCCGGCTGCACGCATTGGTTTGGCTGAAACTTTAGAGATTTCAAATCGATATCACAACAGAATTTTTCAAAATGTCAATGACGAATGATCACGAAGTAGCTGCGTGCTAAAAAGGCAATAACCGAAGCGATTTTGGAACTAAATCTGTCACGAATGTTACCCACTTCCATTCCACCAGCTTCCTTCCATCACCAGGGAACCATTACCAGACGCACGCCCTTTTATATTGCAAACAGCTAGGGACTGGAACTGGACTGCTTTTGTCTTTCCCGTGCATTATAATCCGAATCTCTTCAAGGTAACATTGAATAGGCACGTACCATCCTAGATTGATGTCACTCAACATCAAGCGTGTTTACAAAAAAAAAATACTTAGAACTTTTCATTTATGGTCTATCTTAATTTAATGACCGTACACCTGTAGGCCTAAGATGCGCCCCGCGATAAACGGATATCACGCCATTTTATCGATTTTCCCCATACATTTTGACGTCGATAAAAGTTATCACAGCGTGCATCTTAGGCCTACTGAAGTGGTTTTGTTATTTCTTTTATGTTCCGTACACGAACCTTTTCAAACTTGTTGCACTACTGCTGGACTACTCAACCTCCATTGGTTGAGTTTAATTGGCTTCCAAACAGCAGATCGTGCGTTGTAGGAGTTGCTGTTTTAAAAAATGGTGGCGTTAGTTGCAGGCAGCTACAATTTGCACCCTCCTCCCCAGATCCTAGAGTTCAAGATGCCGGAGGAGATGCTGAAGATCCTGGACCTGCAGCTGCATGAAGAGCCGCTGCCGCTGAAGCAGCTGCTCGAAGACTGCAAGATGGCGCTCAAGCACCAGGTCAAGACAGGTCAGTGCTTGTAACAGGACAATATTAATGTGACGATTCCGAAACAAAATTATAGTCCAATTCCGTCAAATAAGGCATTGGTGATTGACAGACTATTACCGGACAGTGCGCGTGAACGCACAGGGTGATCGAACATACGAACCAATCACAGAGCTCTATTCAAAGCTGTGCGATCGATTTGCTGCTTCACTTAAGCAAGCATCATTTGTGAATACGGTCGTTAAACTCACTCGTAATACAAGCATATTTATATTTAGCTTAAACATTCTTAACGGGACCTGTTTGCAAATAGGTTAGTATCATTTCTATCTTAACTATTAAAGCGCTTACAGAATTCAGTATTAACTACCCCGCAATAGAGTTACTCGAAAAGTCTAAATAATCCGGCAATTAGTAAGTAGGTACGCTGTAGCCTGTAACTCTCTGATGCGCAAAGAGATGTCGTACTTATTGCTGGAATCGCACGGAAAGTGAAGTTTCTTCGGCTATAGTTATAACTAACCACTAAAAACGTTTATAAACTCAGCATTACCTACTCTTTAATACGAGTAGTAGAATAATTCCAAATGCCCCCGCAATTAGCAAGTATTCCGCTCCGGCGCGCGTGATCCTTCCGCGCCGTTTGCGCAGATGATGGGATTGTTTGACGGGGGCTGCGTTTTATAGTGCTGTCTGGTGTAATCCGAGGGGGTTTACTGTGCTAGACATCGCGGGTTCGATCCCCGCACATTGCGAGTAATTTTACTTGTGAGTATTGAATGCACCACATTCCTATTCTTAGGAAACTCACAAACTTTGCGAAATGCTTCTTTTGCTAAACACATAAGTAAATAATCGTTTTTTACTCCTACCTATTTATTATACCTAATACCAAACATAGAGAATTATTAAAACAAAGTGTTTTAGTTAGTTATTTCTAACTTTTTATTTACAGTGAAAAAGTCAAATTAATCATTCAAAACAAACTAATTCTATTACCTACTTGGGTAAAGTAAATATATAATTTATTATCTTAGGTAATTTATCTTATTTTGGTTTGGCTAACGCAAAAGTTAAACATACCTTAAACAAGTTCTATAATCCAACATTCCAGCAAACATTCAATCGAAACTCTTATAGACCTATTAGGGCACTGTATCCGGGCCTCAGAGCGCCCCTGCCGGGATCCGAACCGATCACACGCTCGGTCTAGCGTGAGCCACATCGATTGTGACCGACGGGCTGCTTTTGATGACTTGAGCTTGGAAACCATTTTTCATTTTCGCTGTGTGCACTTGTGCAGTATATTTATACTTCACTACATTATAAAATTCTACGCAAGGTCTGTCTGTCTGATAAACTAAAAAAAAATACTGAACGCTAAAGTCTTCTTTGACAGACCAATGTTCACGCAGGCGAAGTCGAGGGCAAAGTCGTCTCAGCACCAGCCAATTTGGTCTGATCTGAAGTGGTGGTAGAGTTACCTATAATGGGACGTTATAAATAATAATAATAATAAATAACTTTATTAATACACAGTATAACAATACAACACAACAGATTTAAAAGAAAGAGACGAATGCATGTTAATAGGGCGCTCGCTCAGTTTTAGTTGGGACACCTTGTAGGATGTCCCGACACTGATTTTCAGCAGGAATCATCGTGTTTGCATCAATCTTTGACATTAAAGATGAAATTTAAACAAAGGATAAGACTCTATTATCATTCTAAAGTACGCAGGGCTCAACTTTTTACTAAAATCAATCATAAATTGAGTTAGATATTGATGGAGAGCGGATGATAGATATCAGCGAATGGATTACCATAACGTACGGACACAATGGTCCGGGCGATCAATCCATAGCAGTACACAATACACATCGTTCGTACTTATAAAATTGTTATATCTATGTTTTACTAGCTTTTGCCCACGGCTTCGCCAGCGTGAAATTTTGTCTGTCACAGAAAAACTGTATCGCGCTCATCCATGTTTCAAAATCCAGGATCCTAAGTATGTCCTTTCCTGAGACTTAAAACTATCACTATGCCAAATTTCATCAAAATCGGTTCAGTGGTGTAGGCGTGAAAGCGTGACAGACAAACAGTTACTTTCGATTTATAATGCTAGAGTAACGTAGTGTACCAATAGTGACCGATGAATACCAAACTACGGCCCATCCCCAACCGCACGTGCCGTATTAATAACCCCACTCAACTTTGGTTTGCAACACCTACAATTGAATGTATCGAATTAAGCACAATGTAGCAAACTAACCGCACAAGCGTCAATCAGCTGAATGCTTCGTCAGACCGGGACCGGCATAGTAATGTGGCACAATGCGGTTAGTTTTGGAGTATTGAGTTAATACGGGCTGGTTTGGGACGAAATTGAATTGCAAATATTGCAAAATACACGTAGTGTTCTTACGAATACACAGAGCTTAAAATTTACTTTCGTAGTAGATACTGTAAAATAAAAAAATAATAATAAAAATAACATTGTTTATTCTGTACATAGGCCCTTTCCAGGGCACTTACACACGTTCCAAATATAGCTTGCCCTACCACCACTTTGGGGCAACATATGGGCTGGTGCTGAGAAGAAGTGGCAGAAGAAACTCAGTCATCTTTGTCAACCTCATTTTCAATCAAATACAGTAATTTTTAACTACCTACATGACACATAATTATGAGATTTTACTTAATCAAGCGGTCAATAAATAAGTAGTTAGATAGGTGTAGCTTCAAACTTTGTCCCTTATAATAATCCGAAGATTTAATGCTTATAGAAAGCTTATTTTTTACGACCGAACGCCATTTTTATCACAAGAATTAATGACCATTTTATCTTTGCCTTAACCCCTCAAAAAACTATAACGTCTCGATATAATCTGTGGACCATTGACGGGAGATATGGCGGGAAATGCATTTGACAGGAGTCCTCTAGAGGGCGCTGCCTGCGATGGAGTGCCCTAGATTATCTGTGGCGTAATGTATAGCTTTTGACAGGCCATTGTTATGATTTTGAATCAATTTTTGGAGTCTGTGGGATAGATAGAGGAGAGCTGTGAAAAGTGAGGATAATAAGTAGGAGGTCGTTGTCTGTGGATAAAAATAAACAAATATGCAGTTAAATTAATAAACTGGATAACATTTGGGTTAGAGCATTGTAGACGCAAAAAAAGTAATTTTAATATTCTTCTTAAAAGTTTTTTAGCGGTTTACAAAGGTAGGATCAATACCCTAAAGCCAGACATATTGGTTCATCATCATCATCATCATCATTCATCATTTCAGCACAGACAAGACGTCCACTGCTGAACATAGATCTCCCCCAATGACTTCCAGCATCCAGCACCCTCTTGCTACCTTTATGAGGTCGTCGGTCCACCTTGTAAACTAGGGGCAGCAAGGTGGATTTGCTGCCCCATCGGCCGTCAGGTTTGCGTACTACGTAATTATCAATATAATTAAAGTTCCTATAATTATTATAGTAATAGTTAACTCGAAGAACATAATATCACTTTATCAAAATTAATATTACCAAATAATAATATATACAAATACATCTGACATTGACCCCCAAGCCGCTAAGTCCTCAATATCTGAACCCTACAAAAATCTCTAACCCTAATCCAAACAAACAACCATTATTCTTATTTTAATAAATATCCCCCAACGCTGGGCGAATTGAACCGAACAGTTCGCGCGCGTAATTTCTATTAAAACCGACGCTGCTGCCCTCTGGATGCAGATTAAAGTGGGATTATGGCAACACCTGACTCGAATTAATTGTTGGTAGGGTTGACAGTAAATGCATTTTGCGTTACTGACTCTACATTTTCTTACTATAGCCTGACCAGGAACATAAAAACCCTGGCATAGAGGCGCGTCAATTGCATTTGATAGTGCAACACTGAGTACAGTCGTACCTGTGTTAAATTAATAGGCTAACTTTATGTATCAGGATTCAGGATTACGGGCTAATTTGATATTTTCATAAATTAACGAAAAAATATCATTATAGGTAACCTGGTTTAAATAAATTAAATGAAACCATCAATCAAGTTAGTAGGATTTATTTTATTATTCATCAATAATCAAATTCAGAACTTGAATATTCAACTGCAATGTCTGCTCATGAACGCTTCAAACTCGGTACTTCTTTCCCAATTCCATAAAATTCAACACTTAGAAAGTGACAAAAAACTTTAAAATAGGTATTTGAAACAAACCACAGCTAATTTTCATTAAACATGTCAGTCAATTTGACAACCTTTGTCGGAAACATTATTCAATGAAAATATTGTCCGAACCCTTAGTATTTCTCTTCGATAAATACTTTAACACATTGTGGACCACTTTTCTTTCACGACTATAAAAAGATGTTAGCAATTTAATTCACAAAATCAATTGCGCAAATTTAAAATAAAGTTTGTTTACACTTTGACAGCAATAGACTGACATGCAAGGTGACATGTCAATGAAGTTTTCAGTTACTGTTGCCATTAAAAGAAATTAGTACCATTAGTTTTCCGCAACATGGCGAGGGTTTTTATGTTCCTGGTCAGGCTATACATAAATTCTATTTTATCAGTGGTAATTTCTTAACGTCAAAAATAACATTACTGAATAATCGTTAAAAAGGACAGTAAAACTAAGATTTTATTAACTTGAGTCTTAGGTACTTGCTTCATATGGTATAAAATATTATTTATTTATTAAAAAAATCAACGAGATTACTTACACCACAAACTAGATTAAGAACAATAACAGTTGGTTACATGATAAGTGCAAACTAAATACAACGTATAACCTTAGAAAACGACCAAATTAATTTAAATTTCATATTTGACATTTTTGTAGCAGTTGTTGCAAATATGAATTACTTTAGCACTATCCAATGTATTTTTAGAATCCATTCAAGGACTTCCAGATCTTTCTAAAAATTTTATAATAATCTCATCAGTTTTGTAGCAACCCTAGCTCAGAGCCCATCTGTTGAAACGTCAAGCATTCTG